TCCCCGCCGCTCTTGTCCTGTGAAATCCCCTGACATGATTTGTTACTAAATGTTCGCTCATTTAGCATCAATCCAATGCAATGTGGTGGATATACAAAACAAAAACGGAATCTCTGTAGATAATGAATTTCATATCTTTGGTATTCATATCTATTTTTGTTTTCATCTTCGTCTTAAGCCATGTTTTTTTTTCATAGATGCCACACCCTCACAACAGCATCCCTTAAATACCAAAAAAGAAGAAGTAAATGGTTGCAGCAGCATCAATCACAAAAATTAACAAACAATTTTTGGGAGAAAATTGTTGCTATCTAATGGTTGTACTAAATATTCGTAGGTTCCTTTATATCCTTTTCTCTAAAGAGAGAAGAGAAATAAAGGCATTAAGATTAATAAGTATTTTTTTCACTGAAGACCAATACAGGCTCCTTAATATTTTACTATTAAGAGTGAAGAGGGGGGGGGGGGGGGGCGGATAACTCTCAAGAGACCAGTTTTTTTTCCTCAGAAGACTCAAAGACTGAGGCCTTCTTTCTTAGAAGACAAAGTGGTCTTCTTTAATAAAAGACTAGGAGGACTTTATTTGTAGAAAATCAGATAATCGTTTTCATAGAAGACTGGAACATAATGCTTTATAGAGAACGAAAATGATATTTCTTATAGGAGAAAGTCTTCCTGACAGAACAATAGAAGAACATATTTGGTAGAGAACTATGAAGTCTTCTCTAATAGTAGATCAGAAGGCCTTATTTTGCAGAATACTAGTAAGTCTTCTTTTATAGGAGAATGAAAAGCCTTCTTTCATAGAAGACCAAAACATCTTCTTAGAGGGCAAGTTCTTTTTTCTTAAAAGGCCAGAAAGTCTTCTATCGTACAGTACCAGGAGATCTTCTTGTAGAAAAGGAAACAGATCTTCTCTCGTAGAATATCAGAAGGTCCTGAATTCTTCAAAACATGAAACCTTCTTCTTTGAAAAAAAGTTAAAGGCCATCTTTCAAAGAAGATCAAAAGGTTTTCTATTGAAAAAAACATCTCACCTTCATTGCAGTAGAAGGCCAGAAGCTAACCAGATGTTCAATTTCTATAGAAGCCACGGAAATCTGTAATAGGAGGTCCAAAGGCCTTTTTTGTATAAGGCCGATATTTGTCTTCCATAGCCTTTTTCCAGTAGAGCAGGAGGTTGTTTTCCGTACAGCAAAAAAGTACGAACGATTGAAGTAAAGAAAAAGAAAAGAAGGAACAATGAAAGAAAGATCTAAAGGGACAGAAGGAAGAATTAAATAAAGATGAAACAAGGAAATATATAAAGAAAAAACGAAAGACAAGTAATGGATGAAAGAACTAAAGAAGTAATGAATAAAATAATACAGAATGAAAGGATAGAAAGAAGAGCGGACGAAAGACTGAAAATACGGAAGGAAGTAATAAATACATAAATAAAGTAAGGAAATAATGAAGAAAGAAGAAATTAAGTAATGTGAATGGAAGAACGGGGGAAAAACAAGTAAAAATCAGCTAAGATTGGCCGGGCCGAACTTTTAATACCCTCCACCATTTGGAAGGAACTTGAAAAATGTCAAATTTCCGGAAACTATTACTTTAATGAAAACTGTTATATGGAGACTATACGAAGACGTGGACCTACTTAGGAATTTTTTTGTGAATTCCATTCCCATTACGAACTTCAAATACCAAATTTGATACAATTCCGGTGAATAATGTCGATAAAATAATCAAAATACAAAACGTTAACCGATTTTTTGTCATAGTCTGTAGTACCCATTACGAACTTTAAATACGAAATTTGTTACAATTCCGGTGAATAATGTCACACAAATCATAAAAATACAGTGTCTTGGGAGGTACCGTCATATGGGGGCTATACAAAGATGTGGACCTGCATACAAAAATGTTTGTCATAGGCTGTAAATTTGAAATAATTCCGGTAAATAATGTTGCTAAAACCATGAAAATGCCGAATATAGGGGCTATACGAAGACGTGGACGTACATACTAAATTTTTTCCATAGGTTGTAGTAACTATTAGGATCTCCCAACACGAAATTTGAAACGATTCCGGTAAATAATGTTGCTGGAATCATCAAAATACCGAATATCGGAAGCTACCGTTATATGGGTGCTATACGAAGATGTGGACCTGCATAGACAATTTTATGTCACAGGCTGTAGTACCCATTACGAAGTGCAAATTCGAAATTTAAAACCATTCTGGTGAATAATGTACCTAAAAACATCACCGATAAAGCGGGGATATGCGAGGACGTGGACCTGCATAAACAATTTTCTGTTACAGGTTGTAGTACCCATTACGAAGTGCAAATACGAAATTTAAAACCATTCCGGTGAATAATGTAGCTAAAAATATCAAAATACCGAATATTTGGGGGCTATACCTAAACGTGGACCTATATAACCCATTTTCAATACCAAAAGTCCTGCAGGACAAACACACATTTGATTAAAAGTTTATCATCCTACTTCAATTTGTTCGGAAGCTATAGTGATTTCCACAGACGGACGCGAAGTCGACATAGAATTTTATGCTAATATACTTTGTGGGGTCTAACGCCTTATTATTGAATAACAGAACAGGATCTTCCATAGAAAATCTTAAGGTCTTCTTCCTCTTCCATAAAATACAAGAAGATCTACTTCATCTTCCATAGAGGACCTGAAGTTCTTCTTTCCACAGAAGATAAGATCATCTCTCCTCAAAGACTAGTAGGTCTTGGATTCTTTCATAGTATAGTCTTCTCTCAGAAAAGAAGGTCTGCTATTTTAGATGACCAAAATCCATAAGGCCGTTGGTATTCTGCCTAGAAACAGAGGAAACGAAAGGTTACAAGGTTCGGATATTTAGTGGCGTAGTATTCGATTTTTGGGATACTACTACTTCCCCGACCATAATTGGACTGAGCTCGAGGGAGTTGCAGTCCCTACACGTATTAGAGTAGGAATTCTACCGTGAGTAGAACAAAAAAACCGAACATAATCTATTTTTCATTGTCACTCCAAAAAGAGGGTGTATGATTTGCTTCTTTTTCGAGTGAAACTTAAATTCCCTTGAAATCGACCGAATTCTGGTCTTTGCCGAGTACTCTATTAGTTTTTGTCATATCCTCGTTGTATTTATTTGTAAGTTTGTGTATTTTCTCAGCCCATAGCTGTAAACGAAGCAGAACCATAATCTACACCGACAAGACCTTCTCCTCTTCCATGAGAAGATTTTCCAGCTTTCTAAGACAAGAATTTCCTGTCTTCTAGGAGAATACCTTTCAGTCCTCCTAGAGAAGACCTTCCTGTCATCCAAAAGAAGGCTTTCCTGTCTTCTAAGAGAAGGCCTTTCTGTTTTTTTAAAAGGAGGCATTCCTGACTTCTAAGGGAAGACTTCGCCTTCCATGAAAAGCCTCATATTTTTGAGGAGATCTTTAGGTCTTCTATCAGGAGACCTTCTGGTCTTCTATGAGGAGATCTTTAGTTTTTCTATAAGGAGATCTTTAGGTCTTCTATGAGAAGACCTTGCACTCTTCTATCAGGAGACATTCTGGTCTTATATGTAGAGATCTTTGGGTTTTCTATGAGAGGACCTTGTGGTCTTCTATGAGGAGACCTTTTTTGAGGAGTTCTTTAGGTCTTCTATGAAAAGACCTTGTGGTCTTCCATCAGGAGACCTTCTGGTCCTCTATGAGGAGATCTTTAGGTTTTCCATGAGAAGACGGTGTGGTCTTCTATGAGGAGACCTTTTTTAGGAGATCATTAGTTCTTCTATGAGGAGATCTTTAGGTCTTCTATGAGAAGACCTTGTGGTCTTCTATCTGGAGACCTTCTGGTCTTCTATCTGGATACCTTCTGGTCTTGTATGAGGAGATATTTAGCTTTTCTATGAGAAGACCATGTGGTCTTCTATAAGGAGACCTTTTTTGAGGTGATCTTGAGTCTTCCATTGCTTCTGTTTTTTTCTCTACTTCTTCCCGACCCGCCCCAGCAATATCAACATCTGTTACAAACTAAAAACACACACGAACACACAAGTAAAAAATTATTCACTCGATTTCACACTAAGAGTAAACTCTCATTCTATTTCGAGCATTTCGATTCCCATTCTAATTTTTCAAACAGAAGTATAAAAGAGTGTGGAATAAATTCGTATAAAACTCGCACTCTCTTACTCGCTCGCGTGTAAAAACGAACAAATCTGAGTTTCTCTTTAGAATTTTTCGGTCCAAGTGAGAAGTTTTCTCTTTTCCTTTACTATAGCGGGTTGTAAGAAGTCTTTCTTTCTTAAGAGGGAGACAAGTTGACATTATTTCGTCTGGTGGAAAGATGCTTTCTACATCTACTTCTATAGGTCTTTTCGTATTGAAAATGTCTTTAATAAACAGATGAAAACGGCACGAAATCAGCTTTAGTAGAGAAAATGATTGACTTCTTCTTAAAGTAAAAATTCAATAACGCAATTGTTTTTAAAGAATATTCTTTATAGGAAAATGTATTTTTTTCAGATCATACAGTCGAAATTATTCTAAATCCATTTTAAAGTTCTATTCGCTTTAAAACGATGATACAAATTGAAGCTATCTAAATATACCCGATACTGCAAAATCTGTCTTTAAATTGCTTATTGGGATTGTTTTTTGTTATTTTCCTGGAGGCAGGGGAAGGGGGTTAGAAAAAACCTGACATAATTCTTCCTTATTTCCTTTTACTGTCCTTAATTCAAATAGATTACATTTAAATAAATTACGTGGACAAAAAAAATGAACAGAAATTTCTTGTTTTTTTATTTTGGCCGGATATTTGACTAACAATTAATTAACATTTTATTTGATTAGGATGGATGGATATTCTTGCATTGAGGCCAATTTATCCTTTAATATAATAACAAGGCAAGACAAGGCAGCAGCTCATTCATTTCAAAACAAATTCAATTTCATGCCATGATAATTTTTTTCATTCTCTTTTTTTCCCGTTTATTGCAGATTTAGCAGCTAATCAGGAGAAGGAGGATAACAACAACAAAAAAGTGGCCGTGGAAACACACAAATTAATGCTGATAGAGACGAATCAGAAGAGAAGATAACAACACAGAGAAAAAAAAAAGGATATGAGGAGGATATAAACGAATGTCAACATCAATCGTGGACGTTGGTGTGGCGGTGGTGGCACATCCAGTAATAAATTATGAAACAATCAAAGCCAGAAATGCATAGCTAAGCAGAATAAGAACAACGGATACTTGTCGTTCGTGTTTTTTTTGGGGGTCATAAATAGCAACACGTATTGTCCTTTGTTTGTTTAAATAAAAAAAAAAACGCCAACAAGCCAAGTAATTCCAACACACACTCGAACCCATACAACCTACCTCAAAATTCAAGCCTGGCAACCAGGCTCTCGAAGTCAAAAGAAAACGCAAAAAAAACAAAAAGGAAACCAAATCAACAGAGAAATATACAAATATAAATAGCCCTAAACGAAAGGCGTCCTCGCAGAGGAGTAGCAGCAACAACAGCATTCAATCAAGTTAGCCGGCCAGGCAACAACAACACATGAGCCCAGCAACCAGCAACAGCAGCAATTCAAAAAGCCATAGAGTAGCAATCAGCCAAACCAACCAGACCGACCGACAGACCAAACAGTCAACCCAACCAACCATCCATCCACCAGCCAGCTAGCCAACCATCTGTATGGCATTTTTTTGAGGTTGTTGGTGTTGCTTTATTAACGTACGACGTTATGACTTGAAGGCCAGACACATTATTCAACCATCATCACCAACCAACCAGCCAACAGCAGCAGCAGTAGTAACCTAGCCAAGTGAACCACCAAACAACAACCCAGCAAGCCGGTCATTTACCAGGAAAACAACAAAAATCAACCAGAAAAGCCAAAAACTTAACATATCTTCTCTCGACAATCATTTCATTTCCATATAACTTCAAAAGCCGAAACAACAGCACACGAACAAAAATTCAACTTTCCTTTGGAGCAGCTAGCCAGCCAGAGCCAATACACACAGATACACAACAGGCTACCTACCGGCTACAACATTCTCCCCTGCTTCTGCTCCCCCATCCGTTTCCCAACTCAGCAAAACTTGTTATCATCGACGTCATTGGATATTTGCCAAAAAAAAGGAGAGAAGAGACCAGCACCACCACCATTTTCCATAAAAGGAAACAACGAAAACGACATAAAACAAGTTTCACCACTGCCCAAATATCCATTCGGCAGCAGCAACAGCAGCATCTTTGTCCAAACTTTGGTCATTAACAAAACGACGACGACGACGACAACGAGTGTCCTTTGCTGCTTTTTTTGTGGTCACGACCGGCAAACTTTTAACACGTTTCGTTCGTCGTTCGCCCTAGCATTGAGTGTGAGAGCAAAGCTCAAAGCAAAAATATGTCTACCTCAATATTAGCCGCCTTATCATCATCCTCTAATGGCAATGGTGGCAGTGGCAACACCACCGATAATCATAATCCTCCGCCTCCATCATCATCTAATCGTGAATTTGTCGAAGGTTGGACATTGGCTCAGACACTGGGTGAAGGTGCCTATGGCGAGTAAGTATTTCATTTTCCACACGGAAATTAGTTGTATTAGAATGTGTTTAATTGTGTATGTTTTGTTTTTAAGAGGGTGTTGTGAGGAACTTGAAACGGAATTAAGGTCGAAATTTGATGACATTGGTGGAAATCGGTTCAGTTTTAGGATAGAAATTCCAGGATGATCTCTCTACCTATATCCTTATAATTTAATGTTTGAAGATTACTGCAGCAAAAATGGTCCATCAGCTTAGTCCATTTCTGGCGAACTCATTCCGACATTTCGGTCCGTATCCCACGAATAAATGTTGTCTTCCAATGTGTGAATTGAAGCGAACTTATTTGTATAGAAATGGACTTTAACACAGCCCCACAAAATAGTCTAAAAGTGTTAAATGGAATGATATTGGCGGTCTATTGATCGGTACCGAATTTGAAATGAAATGTTCACGAACTCGTCTCCCAATAAGCCTATTGTTACGTGCTTTGAGGCACCGTTTTTTTTTTGAAACCCCATCTCAAGCACGTCAAGATCATGCATTTTAGGGGAAATTAGGATATTATTTCACGGTAACGATCACCATTCACACTTGCGTTACAATTCGCCGCAACTTTGAAGAAGTACCAGCCCATAAAACACACCAAAATATGACATTTTCTGGATGAATTGATACCGTTTGTAATGATATTGCCTGATTTTTATTCGCAAATCGACAACTCTGCTTACGTACCTATTGAACCGAAATGAGTGAGTTTTTCAATAAATAAAAAAGTGGATCTTTGAACAGTTTTCTAAGAGCCCATTTCACCGAAATTTCTGGGTTGCGTTATGTTGTTCGTCTTTGATTCTGTTGTTTATATCCTCAGCCATATGGCTAGAGAGAATATATATCATTTGATACGACCAAAACGTGCTTCATCGAAATAACGGTTTTAGACCCTATGTCATCGAAATAACGGTTTTAGACCGTTTTAGGATATTTAGAGTCGATCTAGCGATATGCATTCATCCATCTGTCTATCTGGTTGGCTAATGTGCACGATAACTCTCTAAGGGAGTATCCGATTTGGTCCAAACTTTGTACAACCTAATATTATTGACAAACTTAGATCGAGTTCGGAGATGGGCAATATCGGTCCACTCCTTCTGGGAACTCTCCCAAAAAAGGTTGAACTCTTGAAAAAATATTTTCTGCACAGAAAGAGAAACGACAATCCGATTTTGCTCCAACTTTTCAAATCTTAACATTTGCATCAGTACTATGTAACGTGCGAAAATGGACAATATCGGTCTACTTCATCAAGTACCTCCCACACAAAGAGTCGACATTTTTAATAATAGTAACTCTTATAAAATGTGATGTAAGTGTCCGATTGCCTTCAAATTACACACATCCCAATATTTTTATTAGCCCACAGTGTGGTGTGAAAATGGAATATATCGGTCGACTCCTTCTGGTACCTCCCCCAAAAAGGGTAAAAGTTTTGAATATTCATGAAGCTCATAAAACGCGAAATAAACATCCGATTTCATTCAGCCTAAGCACATCTCAATATTTCCATTAACACAAGATCTGTTATGAAGGTGGTAGAAATCGGACCATTCCTTCATGTACCTCCCCCACAAAGGGTCAAATTTTTGAAGAACCAAAACGATTATAAAATCCGAAATAAGCATCTTGTTCTCTTCATATTTAACATATGTCATTATTTCTTCTAACACAAGATCTGTTATAAAGCTGGTAGAGATCGGACGATTCTTTCTGCTACCTCCTCCACAAAGGGTCAAATTTTTGAATATTCATGAAGTTCATAAAACACGAAATCAACATCTGATTCCATTCAGACTTGGCACATCTTAATATTTTCATCAACACAAGATCTGTTATAAAGATGGTAGAGATCGGACCATTCCTTCTGATGTCTCCCCCACAAAGTTTTGAATAACAAAAATGATTATAACATACGAAATAAGCATCCGGTTCTCTTCAAATTACACACATTACAATATTTTTATTAACACAAGGTCTGGCGTGAAGATGGAATATATGGACCCACACCTTCTGGTACCTCCCCCACAAAGGGTTACAATTTTGAATATCCATGAAGCTAATAAAACACGAAATTCACATCCGATCCCATACAGACTAGGTACATCTCAATATTTCCATTAATAAAAGATCTGCTATAAATATGGTAGAGATCGGACCATCGGGGAGGTACCCTCCGCCACAAAGTGTCAAAATTTTGAATATCCCTGAAGTTCATAAAACGGGAAATTAACATCCGATTCTATTCAGACTTGGTACATCTCAATATTTCCATCTGTTATAAAGATGGTAGAGATCGGACCCCACATAGGGTTCAAGATTTTTAAAAACAAAACGCTCAAACAAAGCGAAATAAGCATCCAACTCTTTTTGCAAATTTCACGCCTACAAACATGTTTGCTAACACAAGATCTGTTGAAAGGTTCTATATATCTGCGAACCCCTGCTGGTACCTCACCCACAAAGGGTCACAATTTTCAATACCTGTCATAACTTTACAACTTTACAAATTGCTGTATCTAAATATTTCTCGCAAAAACCTGAGATAAGTATGAAATGTATGATTTCGCATAAAATTGAATATAAACGTTCGATTTTCTTGTAATTTTTCCAATACCAATATTTTTATCTGTATTAGATGAAGTATGAAAACCTACTCCATAGAGGATCAACAATCTGAATTATCAAACAGAAGTCAAAATATATTTGAAATATATTCTAACATTGGTCGGCAAAACCGACTGATATATTTTAACTTGTTTTAAATTAACTACGACTTTTTTAAATTAATAAATTTGCGCCGGTCTTTTTTTTTACAGTACCAGGTCTTCAAAAATATACAAAATTTCCCACCTCAGAAATTCTTCCACCTTCTGATATCGATTTTCAGATTTTTTATGTCCTTTTTATCTCAAGACACAAAGATATGCTGTGAAACAGAAAACGTCCACCATATATTGATATCAAATATTGAAACATTTAGAATTGTTTTATTCAAAAATTTGTGAACCTTTATTCGGGCTTTAGGATCTATTTGTAATTTTGTTCTTCTTTAGTTCTTCATTTATTCTTGAGGTGGTATTAAATATTATTATTTGTGGTGCCAATATTTAGCCGCACTAATTTCTGTTTTTGCATTACAGAATAAAATATTAAATTCTACAAAACTCTTAGTTGTTGTTGCCATTTAAACTAAACGCCATGAATTGAAAACTTTTAACGGAATACTATTTCAGCACAAAGGAGGAGGAACAAATGACAAAAAAATGACAAAATGCAAAAATAAACAGACTCACACATACACACTCACACACAATCAAGTCAATAAACCGGAAACCTATGAACAACTTCCTTCCGGCATTTCAAAACCATTTTTTTCTGTGCTCATCTTTTGTCCAATATCTCAGACGGACGGACAAGAAGAGTGTTTGTTTGATGTGTAGAAGTGTGGGAGGGCAACTATCTCACTCTCTCTCTCTCCATCTCTCTTTGTCAAACAAGAAAATGTGTCTCTATCACAGAATAAAAGTGCGCAGGTCAGTAGTTTAGAGTTGTGATAAGATGTGATACCACACAAGAGAGATAAATGGAGAGAAAGTTGTATCGGATTTTAACAATGAAACCTTAGAGGTGTTTTGTGTTGTCGCATTTCGCGTTGTTGTGATAGAGCATGTTTAACGAGAGAGAGAGAGCAATGCATGGTTTTATTGAACTCATCTTCAGAGTGTATTTATTGATGATTTGTATAGAGAATAGAGTTGTCGGATTTTGGGGGATTTCGTGTAGTAATTTTGGTCAGCTTTTTTGAGTCCAGAATTATCCCGGGGTCTTTTACACCTCTCCATAGACGAAAGATTTTTATGAGCTTTTCTGCAGACTTAAAATATTATTATTGCAAAGAATAGTTCTATGTACATTTGGCGTTCTTCACATAACTGATTTTATAAGAATTAGGAGAGAAGTTATCTAAACTCTTCTATAACAAGTTATGGCATAAGTCGGTTTTGCCGACGGGTGTATACCCCTTAGCCTTTGAGCCTTTTGTTTTTCAAAATCTTGAACCCTATGTGGAGAAGGTATAAGTAGAAATTGTCCGATCTGTACCAGATTCTGTGTTGAATGTGTTAGAATGGTTATAACAGATCCTGTGTTGATGGAATGGAAGCGGATGTTAATTTCGCGTTTTGTGAACTTCATGGATATTCAAAGTTTTGAGCCTTTATAGGCGAGGTACCAGAAGGAGTGGACCGAAATATCCCAATTTATCACCAGGCCTTGCCTTAATAAAAATTTTGTGATGTGTGTAATTTGAAGAGAGCCGGATGCTTATTTCGGATTTTATGATCGTTTTTGTTATTCAAAACTTTGACTATTTGTGGGGGAGGTACCAGAAGGAATGGTCCGATCTCTACCATATTTATGACAGATCTTGTGTTGATGGAAATATTGAGGTGTACCAAGTCTGAATGGAATCGGATGATAATTGTTTTATGAGCTTCATGAATATTCAAAATTTTGACCATTTTGTGGTCAGAAGGAGTATACCGGCATATTCCATCTTCACACCAGACCTTAGGTTAATAAAAATATTGTGATGTGTGTAATTTGAAGAAAATCGGATAGTTAGATCACATTTTATAAGAGTTATAATTATTCAAAATTTTGATCCTTTGTGGGGGAGGTACTTGGTGGAGTGAACCAATCCAAATATTAGGATTTGCAAAGTTGGAGCAAAACAGGATTTTATCTTTCTGTGCAGTAAATTATTTTGTTTGAAAATGTTCACATTTTGTGGGGGAGGTACCAGAAGAAGTGAACTGTAATTGCCCATCTCCGAACTCGATCTAAGTTTGCGAATAATATTACAATGTACCAAGTGCGCTCCAGCTTGCCAGACAGACACACATCGCTAGATCGACTCCAAATGTACTGATAAGGCACGTTTTGGTCGTATCAAATGATATACAGGGTGAGATAAAAAAAACTGCAACAAAGTCAAACGCCATTGTTATTACTTTTTTTTTAAATTTTATTAAATAAAAGCAAAAAATGTCAGAACTAGCATCAAATTCTACAATAAGTTTAGATTTGTTTGAATTGGTCACCTTTGACACGAATTATTGCCTTCAAACAACCAATGAAACCGTCACACGCTGCTCGAATGTTGCTCTGCGGTATTTTGGCCCATTCCCGGCGAATCGCTTGCTTGAGGTGATCGACACTTTGGTATTTTTTAGTGCCAACCTTGCTTTCCAAAATACTCCAGACACAATAGTCCAAGGGACTGGTATTCGGAGATTTTGGTGGCCATTGTGCCTTGGAAATGAAGCGAGGAACCTCATTTTGTAACCATTCTTGGGTGGCGCGTGCTGAGTGCGATGGTGCTGATTCCTGATTGAATGTCTGCCGCCAAAATGTTTGCGTGCCCAATGCTTTAAAACACCCTCCAGAATATTTTCGCGATAAAATTCGGCATTTATTCTGATGCCACGGTCGATTAATACGAGCGGAGAGCGACCATCGGCTGTTATGGCGGCCTACACCAACATGATGGCCGGCGCTTGAGGTCTGGTGGTCAACCGAAGGTCCACATTTTCAGCTGACCTCTTTGGCAAGCAAACACGATCATTTTGTTTGTTCACAAACAGCAGGACAACGAATTTGTTCTCATCGGAGAAAACCAAATTCGGCAGTTCACCACTTTCATTAGCTCTTTTGAGTCGATTTTATTTCTGTTGCGGTGGCTTTACCCCGAGCTCATTTTCAATATTTGCCGAATGGATTATTGCGATATGTTCAGCTCTCGAGACATTTTTCGGCCACTGCGACACGGGTTTCGATCAAGTCGCTTTTTTACTTTTCGAACCATTTCTGCAGATGTTGCTGTTTTCTCCTGTCCACTTCCTTGACGTCGGGCTACGCTACCAGTATCACATTATTCACATTTAAATGCTGGAGTGCTCTAACGATAGCCACTTGTGGTTTTCCAGCTAAATATAAAGAAATCACACTACCACGCTTGAATTACATCACGAATAACTTTTTTTCCTGGATAATTCTCACGAAAATGCTTTGGTACGCTTGTAAACAATATAATGAGCTGTCACTGGAATAATTTTAACAGCTGTAGGTCGAGTGGTTTAGAAATGACAGTAGTCTCAAGTTGGTTGCAGTTTTTTCATCTAACCCTGTATGGTAGGCAATAACCGTAAAATCAGATGAAAATGTATATCGAAGGTATATAAAAATCTGAACCGATCTCGACAAAATTTGGCAGAGGTATTTTCGAGCTGTATCTAATGTCCGGTATCAAACAAATATCATAGTTGTGGAGTGCATATTATGCATGTGAGGGACTGTAACACGAAATCGAATGAAACGAATATATGGTAGATATAGATATATCTGAACCAATTTACACCAAAATATGAAGTACATGCTTCTAGACTGAATTTCGTCGGACGTGCCAAAATGCAGTCCATTTGGGCTGATATTAGCCATCTGGGCACAATTAACCAGGGCACAATAAACAATTAAAAATATATAAGGGAACTATATCTAAATTTTAACCGATTATCGCCAATTTCAATAGGGTTCATCCTTGGGCCAAACAAATATTGTTTGGAAAATTTCATCTCAATCGGATAATAAATGCGAGCTGCATTTTGTTCACAAAAATACAAGGACTTACAGACAGACTAAATCAACTCAGAAAGTGATTCTATAAAGATCCTCAGAAGTAACTATGGATCTAACTCTCTTCGTTCTCCATGTAACAAACAAATGCACAAAGACATAATATCCTTACCACTATGTGGTGTAGGGCATCAAAATCAATGTCGGAATGACACAAGTAGACTTTGACTTGTAATGTTTTCAATATCAAAAAAGTCTTCTTTGGCAGTTTTAAATACATTTTTGTGTGATTTCTTTTTTTTTTCGAAAAATTTCGCTTCAAATAATTTTTATGAAATCTGCAATGGCAACTCTACTCCTAAAGGATACACCACACACAACGTGTTTTAGTTTGAGAACTGTTTCAATAGAACGCCCACGTTTTTGAATTGAATTAAATAATCGCCAGAGTTGCTGTAACAATATTGAAGAGAGTTTTGTTACATGAACTCGCTCTCTATCACTCTCGCTACACCGCTGAATAGTATCACAAGTTTCCCTCAAGTTTATTGCAACTATGCTTTTGTTATTTCAACATCTCTCATGTCACGTTCTCTCACTCTCGCTCTTTCTCATTACAGAGTAAAATTGTTGATTAATCGTCAAACCGGTGAAGCTGTTGCTATGAAAATGGTCGATTTGAAAAAACATTCGGATGCCATCATGTCGGTGCGTAAAGAAATTTGCATACAGAAAATGTTACAGGACCAGCACATCCTGAGATTTTTCGGTAATCGTTCACATGGTCATATTGAATACATATTTCTGGAATATGCAGCCGGTGGCGAGCTGTTCGATCGAATCGGTAAGTTTGTGAAGTTAAGCTAAGATAATTTCTAAAACTGAAAATAATAAAAAAAATTGTAAAAAAATATGAAAACTTAAAACAAAGGACGTGTTGATTTGGAAAAGTATTTGAAATCCTTTCAAAGTTTGTAATCTTCAACCGGTGTTTGATGAAAGTGTGTATTTTTGTGTGTATGTGTATCTACAGCATATTTCAATTCAAATCCCTTGGAAATTTGTCCCCCTAAGTTCTCCCCACAATAAATTAGGCATAAGTTGAGTTTAGGGGCTATGCTTGGATTGACCTGAAATTTTTACCGCAGGTAGGTATTTATAACCTGATTACGGCAATATAATTTTTTTGTGGGGGAAATACCCGGTTACCCGGTTATTCGACCCAAAAGTTCGGATACAACATCCGGTTTATATCCGGTTCTACGTAACCGATATCAATAATATGGGTATCATTTGAAAGCTTATGAAAATACCTATCCAACAAGTGGTCATATATGGGGTAACTGGAACCGGTTTCGGAGAAATTTAGGAAAATGTGCATTTTTGTATGAGTAATTTTTGAAAAACCCATAAAAACTCGAAAATGGACCCATTATAGGGTCTTAAAATCTATACACTATATTATAGCTAACACTATTGCCTTTCCAAAATGGTGTCATATGTGTTGATATCTTTTGTAGTTCCGAAGATATTGACTTTTAAATTCGTTACTTATGAAAGCAGTTTGAGTGAAGCCAAGTTTTGTGTCGGGTTTAACGTTCTTGTTAATCTGCTTTGTTTTTAATTTGGTGTTGTTAGAATATTATGGATCGCGTAGTCGGTGTTGGACATATCCCAGAGGAGAAAATCTTAAGCCGCGGCCGAAGGCCGGCTACTTACAAAAATTACAATTTTTAGAAAAACTATGGATCGCGTAGCCGGTGTTGGACATACCCCAGAGGAGAAAATCTTAAGCCCCGGCCGAAGGCCGGCTACTTTCGAAAACTACAGTTTTTAGGAAACTATTGATCGCGTAGCCGGTGTTGGACATACCCTAGAGGAGAAAATCTTAAGCCCCGGCCGAAGGCCGGCTACTTTCGAAAACTACAATTTTTAGAAAACTATTGATCGCGTAGCCGGTGTTGGACATACCCCAGAGGAGAAAATCTTAAGCCCCGGCCGAAGGCCGGCTACTTACAAAAATTACAATTTTTAGAAAAACTATGGATCGCGTAGCCGGTGTTGGACATACCCCAGAGGAGAAAATCTTAAGCCCCGGCCGAAGGCCGGCTACTTACAAAAATTACAATTTTTAGAAAAACTATGGATCGCGTAGCCGGTGTTGGACATACCCTAGAGGAGAAAATCTTAAGCCACGGCCAAAAGGCCGGTTGCTTAAAAAAGCTATAAAGGTCAAAGTCAAATGCATCTAGACTGGAGAAAAATATAATTTAATGAATTCTATCTCTTATATCTTCGGAACCACAAAAGATATCAACACATATGACACCATTTTGGAAAGGCAATAGTGTTAGCTATAATATAGTGTATAGATTTTAAGACCCTATAATGGGTCCATTTTCGAGTTTTTATGGGTTTTTCAAAAAGTACTCATACAAAAATGCAAATTTTTCTAAATTTCTCCGAAACCGGTTCCAGCAACCCCGTCATATGACCACTTGTTGGATAGGTATTTTCATAAGCTTTCAAATGATACCCATTTTATTGATATCGGTTACGTAGAACCGGATACAAACCGGATGTTGTATTCGAACTTTTGGGTCGAATAACCGGGTAACCGGGTATTTCCCCCACAAAAAAATTACATTGCCGTAATCAGGTTACAAATACCTACCTGCGGTAAAAATTTCAAAATGATCCGAGCATAGCCCCTAAACTCAACTTGCTCCATAAATTATGGCAAGCAATTGCTAACTACATAGGGTGAGTCCAGCATCCAGCTTACATCCTTCCCCGGTCCTTCCGTTCATCTATCCAATACATCCTAACTAGCAGGGTATTGATTTCAATTGTTTATTTGTTTGGATTGGATTGATTGATATATTCATCGCCGTCATCATCATCACCATCAACAGCGTCAATAGCAGCATTGGCAGCATCATCATTATTCCTCCTCCTCCCACCTCCCACCAATTATAACAGGTTTTTCAATTGTTTGTTTAATGTATTCGCTCTGTGCAGTCGCCGTGGTTTTTTTTTTTGCCCTGCCCCACATCCTCCTCTAAACTAACTGCTACGGCTGCTTAATGAAGCCATCATAAAGTTGAAATCAATGGAAAATTCATTTGACTAAGTTTTTTCCTCTTTTTTGTCGTTGTAGTTGTTGTTGTTGTTTGTTTGTAATGAGCTTTGTGGTTCATTATCGAATCATCGACATTTTTCATTCGCCGTTCAATCATTATTTCCCAATTGTTATTGCTTTTGAAGTGTTTGATTTTGAATAGAATATGCAATGCAAATCGCATTAAAACTTTGAATAATTATCTAAACACAAGAAGAGAGGTTTCTTTTGTGGAAACTTATATAAACTAAATGGTTGAAATAACATTAGAACTATTGGGCGGAAAAGAATTTGGATTAGGAAAAAAGACAAATTGGGGAGAAGAGATATTCTTTTCGTTTATTCTACAGGTCCTCTATACGAAAAAACCCCAGTCTTGAAATCGAGGCTTTCCTTTATATATATACTCCACCAAAAAGTGGACCTACATGACCTATTTACTAAACCTATGATTCTTAAAACAATACAAAGCTCTCTATCAAATTTCAAACCTCCATCCCAAATATATCTGAACCAAGTAAAATAGTATCAGTGGGTTTTGCCGACAGATGTATACTCCCAGCCTTGAGTTATGATTATTCAAACTATTGACCCTTTATATGGGGGAGGTTCCGAAGCACTTGGCCAATATTGACCAATTCATATCTTACCTAAATATTACAAAGTGCCAGATTTGGACTATATCGAGTACTTTCTATACTTTATATGAAATATTTGCAAATTTTTGGAAAATGAGGAAATATGCGAGAGGTAACACATATATCGGCCCAAAGTACTCCATTTTCAGACTTCATCGAATGCAGATAAAATTATTGGTATGTGCAAAATTTGAAGGAAATCAAACATTTATATCAAATTTTATGCGAAATCAAAAACTTCGATAAAGTACATATTCATATCAGATTTCCGGTTAAGAGAAATGTTTAGATATAGCAAGTTGTAAAAAATCGCCTACTTTTTTCGCAAGTTATGACAGATATAAACTTTGGAAATTGTGACCCTTTGTGGGTGAGGTACCAGAAGGGGTTGGCAGATGTACATCATCTTCACAGCAGATCTTGTGTTAGCAAAAATGTTTGTGTGTTTCTGAAATTTGAGAAGATGGATGGATGGATTTGGATGCTTATTTCGCTTTCTTGGAGCGTTTTGTTTTTCAAAATCTTGAACCCTGTGTGAAGGAGGTATCAGAAGAAATGGTCATGATCATTTTTATAACAGATCTTGCGTTGATGGAAATTGCGTTGATGGAAAGTAATTGTCCGTTGCTTATTTGGGATTTTATTATCGTTTTGGTCATTTAAAACTTTGACCCTTTGTGGGGGAAGTACCAGAAGGAATGACTCGATCTCTACCATCTTAATAACCGATCTTGTGTTGAGGGAAATATTGATAAGTACCAAGTCTGAATGGAGTTGGATGTTTATTTAAAGTTTTATGAGCTTCATGGATATTCAAAATGTTGACCCTTTGTAGGGAAGGTACCAGAAGGAGTCGGCCGATGAATCCCATCTTCACAGCTGATTTTGGGTTAATAAAAATATTGTGATGTGTGTAATTTGAAGAGAACCGGATGCCTATTTCCGATTTTATGATAGTTTTGGTTTTTCAAAACTTTAACCCTTTGTGGGGGAGGTACCAGAAGGAATGGTCCGATCTCTACCATCTTTATAATAGATCTTGTGTTGATGGAAATGTTGAGATGTACCAAGTCTGAATGGAATCGGATTTTAATTTCATGGATACTCAAAATTTTGACCCTTTGCGGGAGACGTAGTGGAAATAAAGGGATGTCTGATATAAAAAGAGAACCTGATGCTTATTTCGAATTTTATAAAAGTTTTGATTATTCAAAACTTTGATTCTTTGTGGAGAGGTACCAAAAGGAATGGTCCGATCTCTATTTTTTTTATGACAGATCCTATGTTAATTGAAATATTCAGATGTGCCAAGGAATGGAATCGAATGTTAATTAAATAGAATCGGATGTTCATTTCGCGTTTTAAAAGCTTACTATATATTTCAAATTTCTACCTTTTGTGGGGGAGGTACCAGGAAGGAGTGGACCTTTACATTCCATTTTAACTGCAGATCTTGGGTTAATAAAATTATTGGGATGTGTGAAAGTTGAAGACAATCGAACTCTTATGCCATATTTTATAAGAGTTATAATTATTCACCATTTGTGGGGGAGGTACTGTGGACCGATATAGTCCATTTTCGCATCTGACCTAGCACTGATGCAAATATTATGATTTGCAAAGTTGGAGCAAAACCGGATTATCCTTTCTGTTTCTGTGCGGTAATTTTTTTATTGAGAATGTTGACATTTTTTTGGGTAGGTACCAGAAGAAGTGGACCTATATTGCCCATCTCCGAACTCGATCTAAGTTTGATAATAATATCACGATGTACCAAGTTTGGACCAAATCGGATACTCCCTTCAAGAGTTATCGTGCGCAGCAGCCAGACAGACGGAGGGACGAACATCGCTATATCGACTCCAAATGTCCTGAAACGTATTTGGTCCAGGACTACGACCCTAAAACCTTTATTTCGATAAGGGCTGTTTGGCCGTATCAAATGATATATACCCTCTCTAGCCATATGGCTGAGGGTATAAAAAAGGATCGGAATGACAAACATTATACCCTCCATACTATTGCAGAGGGTAAAAAAATATTCTAAAAAAACTGCCTTAAATGGAATGGTTTTTATGAGCTTTT